GTGTTGCTTCCTCATCCATTCTGCCAATCTATTCCTTTGATTAGTGAATTGAGACCATTTAACATTGATCATTATAAGTGATGTGTACTGATTTATCCTTGTCATGTTATTTCCCTGTAGTTGGCGCTCTTTTTCCTGCTCTGTTTACTTGCTTGCCTTACCTGGTGGATTCATTCCTTTGGGGTTCATGGAGTTTTAGTCCTTCTTACCTCCTTCTAGAATGTCCTTCAGAACATTTTGGAGTGCTGGTTTGGTGTTCATGAGTTTCCTCAGGTGTTCTTTGTCATGGAAATATCTTATTTCTCTATCAATTCTAAAAGATAGTTTTGCAGGGTGTATCAATCTGGGTTGGAGGTTGTTTTCTTTTAGGGTCTGAAACACTTAATTTCAAGCTTTCCTTGACTTCAGGGTTTATATTAAGAAGTCAACTGTGAATCTAATGGGCTTTCCTGTATAGTGATCTGTTTCTTCTTAGCTTTTAATATTCTATTCCTCTGTTGAATTTTTGGAATCCTGACTATTATATTTCTTGATGTAGGTTTCTTTAAATCATGGCTAACTGGAGTTGTATATGCCTCATTTATCTGTATGTCAAATTCTTTTTCCCTGCCAGGGAAGTTTTCTGCCATGATGTCTGTGAATAGGTTTTTTAAAATGTCATTTGCAGTATCTCCTGCTTTCTCATTGACCCTAGTCAATTTTATGTTACTCTTCTTTGTATCATCTAGAAGCTGCTGGGTTCATTTCTCAAGGCCCCTTGCTATTTTTAAGAACTCTTTCTTTTCATGACTGCTAACTGCAATTCTGTAGTCTATATCTGAGATTCTGTCCTCATGCTGGCTCATCCTGCTGCATATACTTTCACTGGAATTTTTAATCTCCTAGATATCTGTTTGAATCTGTTTTATGGTTTCCATTTCCTTGCTATGTTGAGCATTCATAATTTCCATCACTGTCCTAAACTCTTGTTTTCTTATCTGTATCTGCTCCTAGAGTCACTAAGCATTTCTCTCATTGTCATCACCACCTCCGTAGCTATGAGAAATTATTTCTGATTTAATTTTTTCTAGAGTCTCCTTTGCCTTGTTCCTCTCACTGTTACCACTGCCGAGAGGCCACGCATGTGGTTTTTGGATTGTCCCACCTCACTGGCTCCTGGGTTTGCCTTTGGTGAGCTGGATGACTGGGGTTGCCTCTTGTTTAAGTGTCTTCTCATTTTCTATTTGTAAAAGTTTAATTCTGGGGTTGATATTTGTAAATTGCCTGTGGTGAGGCAAGTAGCTTTACTGTCAGTATTCAGAACCCTTAGGAAATGACTACTACTTAGAGATGTCTTCCAAGTATAGCTGGCTTTTGGTTTTGAGAATGTTGTAATACCCTACCCTCTTCAATTTATTGGGGATGAGAATTTGCTGCCTACTTGGTCCAGCCCTTGGTTCTTTGGCACTGGACTATGGTATTTTTTTTGACCATTAGGCAATCTCAGTCTTGGTATACCAGGAAGAACAACTGGTTAGAACAATTATGTCACTTTGGCCAATGTGGTACAATCAGCAACAACAATCTCACCAAACATATCCTAGAAAATGACAAACTGAGGTAGTATTAATTTGCCACCTTTAACCATACGAACTAGATTTTTGTTATATAACAAAATTTAAAACAAATCAGAAAATTTTGTGCAATAAATAAGCCCTCAATATGACAATTTTACCCTCAGGGAAGAAAATTTAAAAGAGGTTAAGGAGGAAAAATAGAGAAGTAGAAGAAGAGGAAGAGATTAGACACAAGGCTAGAGGACAAAGGAGAATCACACAAACTTTAGGGAAACTGGTATAAAAGACAGGAGGGAAATAGGATGAAGAAATGAGCAGAAGAACAGAACAGAGCAACAACCCTAAAAAACTAGAAACCATGTTCACACTCAGATAAAAACAAGAACAAGTAATTAAGAAAACAAAAACAAAAACCAAAACCACAAAAGCAGACACAGAAGGGGAAAAAAGGTCCACTTTAAGGTGTGTCTCTGATGTCACTGGTAGACAACATGTGGAGACAGAGTCCTCGTCTGTGTTGATTAATCCCAGCAAGCCAGCAGTGGCTTTACAATGGAGTTGTGGATAATTCCAGCAAGACTGCACCTTTATTTCCCCTGAAGTTCAGGCTGGTTTCTGTCCATGAGGCTGGAACCAGTCCTGTTCAGGCCTCAGCAGTTGGTTTGCTTTCTATGGGCTTGAAATCAGCTGGTGGCCACTAGATGGAGCCAGCAGTTGTTCTGAGTTCTGAGCTCAGCTGGCCCCTCTCCAAAATGGTTCCTGGCCAATCTCCCTTGCTTGTGTGATGTCTGAAGCAACAACACTCCCCAGCCACTGCAGTCCTCCACTTCCTCTGCTCCCGTGCAGTGCTGCGTCTCTCCATGGAGGCTTCGGGGGTGGCCGCAGACACTGTGTGTTTGAGCTGCAGGTTTGAGCTGCCCCCTCCCATGCATTGAGTCTGAACTCAGGCAGAAGGTGCCATCTCCTCCCCCTACCTAGTCTTTCTCCATTAAAGTTTCTTTCTCTGCTCTCCCCATGGGCTTCAACTCTCCCTTCAGATCTTTCTTGGATCCCAGGAACTCACTTCCCTCCTCTTCCTCATGTTGCTATATTCCACAGCATCTGGACACCAAATCTCAGAGATCCTCTTTCTCTGCTGCTTGTCACTCCACCATCTTCCTAGAAGTCCACTCCATCCACCTCTCGATCCCCTTACCCTTTAAGAAAGTTCTAGTTCACTACTTCCTATTATCTTTTACTTTGCCCTTTACTTATACTTCGGATTTTTCATATATGGGAAACCATGCACTGTTTAAGCTTGTGTGTCTGATTTATTTCACATAACATTATGGTCTCAAGATGCATTCATTTTTCTACAAATGACTCAAACTATCTTTCCTTAGCAGTTTCATTTTGAAGGATACAGAATACAAGCGCTGTCAAGTTCTCCTTAGGAAAAAAACATACACTTCACTTGAATCTAGCCAATTTATTACTTTAAATAAATATATGTTTGATAGCTGCAAGTATCAGAATTACCACTGCTTTTAAGGGAATTGGTATTCAAGTAAATATTAGTCACTGTAGAAATTATACTGACAGGCACACTGAAAAGAAAAAAAAGAAAAGGAAGAGAGGGAAGACAAAACAGTACAGCGGGGCCTGGTGGCATGTGCCTACAGTCCCAGCCACTATGTGGACAGGAGAAGTGCTTGAACCATGCCCAGGCAATATAATGAGACCCCCGAAAACAGGACAGGAGAACAGAAGAAAGAAAACGAAAGGGAAAAGAAAAGGAAGGGAAGAACAACAGAGCAGCTTTGGATTTACTTGTAAGAATGAAAGCACAAATCCTGCTTTTCAGAAATGTGGGGAAAGGCTTCTCAGATAGGAGGTTTTTTTTTTTTTCGTCTTTTTGAGACAGGGTCTCGCTATTCAGTTCAGGCTGACCTTGAGCTTACTTTGTAGCCCAGGCTGGCCTTGAACTTGCTGAGATCCTCCTGCCTCAGCCTCCCGAGTGCTAGGATTACAGTCGTGTCAGATATGAGGTGAAAGTCGTAAATTTCTAGGAATGACATTTCTTCTACAACTCTTCCAAGATGAACAGATTAAACAGCATATATGTGCCCTTGCAAAAGGGTCGCTTCCAAAGGAGTCCACTCATAAGCAACCTCCCATCATCAGATCCACCTACGAGCCAGGGTTTTCCATTAAAAAGCATATTAAATACATTTCAAATTTCTTTCTTTCCTTACAACAGAGGGAGTTTTGAAAAAACACAATAGGTCGTGATAAAAGAACAGGAGACCAAAAACCAATTTTTTTTTTGGTATTGGGAATCAAACTCACAACCTCATGCTTGCCAGGAAGGTGCTGTGCCGCTGAGCTATATCCCTGACTCCAAAAACCAATTTTGGACCCTGGAAATCAAACGAACACTTTGGTTGCACCCACGAGAAAGTGAGACCCGCCCTCCATCCATGCCTGCCTTGGCCTCAGCCCGAACGCCCCCTGCTCCCCAGAGCCGCTGCCTCCAGTAGTGCTCCCTTGCTCATGCCGTGCCTCCGCATGGAGTGTGACCCCGCAGGGACCCCGCTGCCCCACCCACCAGAGCTGCCAGGGGCTGGCCAAGAGCTCAGCGTAACAGGGACCAGCATGATACTCACCCATAAAGTCATGAATTTCTGTAAAGCAAAGGACTTCGAGTAAACTTTACATACCTCACCCAGGTTTTGGTTTTCCACCGCACTTGCGAGCACATGTACATAATTTAAACATCTGACTTAAACACACGCCACATGCTCACACCCTCTTACATCCAATCCCACAGACACAGCTCTCCAATTTCTTTTCAGTAACACTGGGGCCCAAGAGAGCCGGGAGAGCGGTAGGGCAGCCAGATGGCCTGGCTCAGCAGGTGTGAACACGGACCCCACGCTCTGGAGGGAGAGGACTCTCACAGGTGTTCTCACACCTCCTTTCCAAGAGGAAGCCAGAGTCCAAGGCCACCCAAGCGCAAGCCCTCACTGCACTATGGAATCCATCTGTGAGCACAGAAATCCGAACGTGCAGCGCACCTCCACCCCACAGCTGAAGGACGCTGACTGGGCCTTTGCTGTCTTCTCTCACCGGCCCCACCGCCTGGCATTCGCACGCAGGCACGAGCTCGATGGGGACAGCGCCCGCAGGAAAACGAACAGAAGACTTCCTCTTTGAAGACTACTCCTGCCTTCTCTGTGGTCACACACTGAGCTACGAAGTTACACGTGGAAGAGTTTTACTATGACATTTCATTCAGAGAATTATTTTTAGACTCTTCAGGGCACAAAGTAAAACTAAGTTTTTCCAGGAAATACTAGTGTTTGCCTCAAGGAAAGTTCTAACTTTCTCACAGCTTCCTGAGCCTGCAGACGGGGCTCTGCGGGGCCCTGTCAGTGCTTCCACACCTGCCCTCGCCACACTCACCGATGTCATCGTCGGTCCTGTCAATTGGGTCCTTCTCCAGGCAGTCCCTCACGATGTCCCTGCTCATCAGCGGATCTGAGGCCCGCTCGATGTCCTCCTCATCATCGTCGTCCTCAGAGTCCACCGCCGTTTCTGGCAGCCCGCTCAAGTCCATATCACCAGCCTCACTTTCTGTGGCCTTAAGACAGACAAAACAATTCTTAAGAACTATTTAAGCAGGTCAATCTCTGGGATGCCAAACAGATAAGAACAACTGTAGCTCAAAATAGTTTCATTTTTCTGTAACTAAATTAAATGGATCCAGCACCTCACAACTATCTGCCAGACATTATAAAAAAGAATTACTTCAACAAAACATGACTAATTTTATCTCCTATTAAAATTCTGGTCAGAATTAATGATTTTTATCTCAGTAATTTTGACTTATGTGGGTCTTCTCATGGCATTTGAAATACACTGCAACAGGGGCTGGGGATTTAGCTCAGGGGCACAGCGCCTGCCTCACAAGCTCAAGGGCGTGAGTTCGATTCCAGGTGCCTGGGGAAAAACAAAACAAAACAAAACAAAAAGAAATACAGTGCAACAAAGAAGAAAAGGATAGTTATTTGCTTTCACTCCATTTTTCAAAGAGAATAGTTTTAGCTGAGAGCCTCAGGCTAATGACTCTTAATTTTGGTCAATTCCTCCTCCAGAAAAATTAGTGGGAATTTTTTAATGCCAAGAAAATAGGACCACTTTCCCCCTAATAGACAGTCTTTATAAAAAACAAACCATAAATCAAAGGTAACTTGATAAACACGCAAACCAAACACAACCATGAACTTGGTTATTCTAATGACCACTCTCTCAAACTACACATAAAGCCTAAAGGCGACTTGTTCCTGGCTCCCCGCTTGCCCAAGAGCTGACTGCATTTCCAAGCAAATGTCAAGGTAGAAGGATGCTAGTGGGTAGACACATTCGTGGTCATGAGTCAATCACTTCAAGGCAGTCTCTTCTGCTGAACTGTCTTCAGTCTAGATCTACTATACTTTTGCGTCAAATTAAAGCCTTTCGGCATTTTGTCACTGATGTGTACATCTGCATCATATTGGTCTTAGCTAACTATAAAGACAGATTCACTATGGGAGTGAGAATAAACTGAATTAAAAGTTAACTACATTTCCAACCTTTCTTCTCAATGAACTAAGAGAAATTAGTAATATAACTATCTTAACTTATACATATATCATATATATAGGCTCCAGAGTCTTAACCATAACCTAATCTACTCTTTGTATCTGACATACATGAATGCAGCTTATATAATGATGTATACTTGTAATACAGTTTAAATCAAAACTTGTGGACACGCTGCTACTGCTTGCTACAACTGCATTTTCCCAGCTCCACCCTATCTTGAAGATTACTCATCAGCTTACAATTTCAAAAACAGCAGCAGTCTTCTGTGTACACCTCTGTGTATAATATGAATGAAATACAAACAAAAACTCTTAAATACTTTATATAGTGAAAGGGTATTCTTTCATTTTAAGAGGCAACATATGCTAGCTAAAAGATGAAAAATATATTTTCTTTTCTCTTTTTGGGTACCGGGAATCAAACTCAGGACCTTGTGCTTGCCAGGCAGGTGCTCATGCCACTGAGCTGTATCCCCAGCCCTCGAAAAATATGTTTTCTACAACCTCAAAGAAATCATTATCCTTTCAATAAAATGTAAGTCCGTGTGTATGCGTGTGTGTTGTGTGTATGAGACACTAGGGATTAGACCCAGGGCCTTCAGCAGGCTAGGCAAGGGCTTTTCCACTGGGCCACACTTCCATCCGCAGCCCTATTTAAATCTTAAGTAAAACTTTCAATTGTTCACTGAATTCGGCTTTCTAAAGCTGAACCTTCCAGCTCCCTTGATCACAGGCGTCTGCTTTCCACATGAGTAAGTTCCACTTTGCCTGGACTCTGCTCTATTGATCTATTTTTGGATAACTATTTTCAGCCCACGTAAGCCACTCACTGATAGACACAGTATTTCACACTTAATACTGGCTAGAAGTGGCACTGTCTCACAGCTCTAAGGCGTTCTGCATTCCATCACCAATCTCTTATTCTTTTAGCTTACTTCCATCTGCCTCTAAAGTAACCCTTTCACAACTCAAGAGGGCTCTTCAGTCTGCAGGACTCTGCTATGTCTAGCTCTCATATCTCCTGTCTTGATTTCCCTCATATCCCGCTTATATCCCTTAGTCTGTTATTTCCATTATATTTATTCAACACAGCTTCACTAAATGCCTACGATTTCTTGGCACTCTATTGAGCAGTGCTGAAAAAAAAACTACCTTTTTGCAGCTGTTATTCTAGTAGACAGACAAGAAGAAAAGTAGTATCATTTCAGTCAGAATCTAGAACAGAAGTGAAAGGACTAGCCAGAAAAGACATCAAAATGTAGCATCTTCTTCACGGACAATAAATGAAGGAAAGAGTACATTAAGTGAAGAACGCTCTCTGGAGATACTTGAAAATGAAGGCAGAAAAGAGTCAAGTGCACCAAGTTGCAAAGCCATGCTGCTTCACTTGGCATGCTGGTGCACATGGCACTCAGTAAAATTTCAAATACATACATACATACACACACGCACACATACATACACACACACACTCACACACACCCCTTCAGTCCCGCTTACATCAAACCTCTGCTTTCTATGTGCTTACTGTGGAGAAAATTACTTAACACAGCAAAGAAAACACTGTATTTAAGACACAGAACTCAGTTGAGCGTCCTCTGGTCAACAGATTCTCCTGCTCTTTGCAACTACTGCTTCAAAACTTCTCTCTCCCTAAAATGCAAGCTCAACGAAGAATTCTTCAGGGAAAACATAGACACTCAAAGGGCAGAGCTCCCAACTACCAAGCTCTCTACTCCAAAACCACCAGGATCCGTCCCCTTTTCTTCTAAGGCCAATTGTTCCATTTTGTTCCTGAATCCTCCTCCTCTCACTTTGTCAGCAACACCATTCTATCATTTCTTTCCCACACAAGAGCATTCAATTTCAACCTCTGCACCAAAGCAAAGGCCTCCTCCCACATCAGAACCATACCGGTAATAAACGGGCTGCCATGGGAAACAGCTGCTGATCCCCAGAATTATTCAAGAATAAACTGCATGCTTGGTGATACAGAAATGTAGTAAATGTAGTAAACGTACATACTGGAAGTTGAACCAGGTACATCTGTGACACCACTCACCTTAGGAATTCCTGATTCAAGGACAGTAAAAGTGGTCTACTGGGAAGCTCTACTGCATATTAACTGTTGCAGAGCCAGTAGCTAAACCCTTAGATATACCTGTGGACTTTCCCTTCTGAAGGCAACGTGCCTGTCAACAAGTTTGAGATAATAGTCTCTGGACTCAACTACATGAATCAAAAGGAGGTGCAGGATTGCCCTTCCTCACCTGTTACCAAAGACCAAGGAGGACTGCAAGCTGCATGCTCCAGCTGTGTGGAAGTGAGCCTGCACCCACATTCTGGCTTCTCAGATGTTCTGATGCTAGCTAGGGACTTGAAGTATCATCAAGAATTTTATATAGGAATTTATCCAGCCTACTTAAAGCAACAGCATAGAAGACCAGAATCCCTCCAAAGTATGCCTCAAAAATTATGTAAATAAGTTATTGCATTGTTATAATACATCTATACGCTATGGTTCCACTCAAGTTTTCATGTTTGCAGAAAGCAGTGATAACAAAAACTGCTCTAATCTCATTACATTTCCACCACAGATCGTCAAAATATACAGCAACTATTTCAGAGTATAGAGGACAAGGACTTTGCCTGTGACGTCTCAATTAATATAAGCTAAAGTACACCTTTTATTTATGCTGTTCATTGTGTAAGGCAACTCTTGCATAAATTTTTAAAAGTCATCTCCCAGAAATAGGGCACATGTGTGTGTTTGTACGTGTCTATCAGAGGTAAAACTGCCCTGGCCCACTGCCTTCTCTAACATTTAAAAGTCCCAAAGAGTTCAAAATATAAGTTCTGTATGGGTCAAGATACAAATCTGCAAAATCACATTAAAGAAGCAGAAATTGTATTTCTTATTCCAAAATAATAAATTCTTCATCAGCCAAGAATTTTTAAATGATTGTGCTTATAGCTAATAAAATACTTCAAAAAATATTTTTAGGGCTATTTAAAATATATAGTTACGAGTCAGTAACTATAGTAAGTACAGAAAAGTATGTACCTCCATGATGAATGTAATCAGTATGTACTGCAAATATGTACTAATAAAAATATTAAAAAGTTTAAATTAAAATTTAACTCCTAAGAGCTACTAAATTTAGGACTTAATATGTCTTGTACATATTAAGTTACTTGTTCATTTACTTTTAGTAGTAGTAATAAAACAAGACTGGGGTGTAACTCAGTGGTAGAACACTGAAGAAGAAGGGAGGGAGGGAAGAGGACGAAGATAGGTAGCTCAGTAATAACATAAATTTGCTATAAAAGCATAAATGTGTAGTTTTCTAGTTGAGTCGTAAACCTACTAACAGTTATGGTCAAATGAATAAAACACTGAAAGTTAAAGGGAATTCCATTGCAACCACTCTTTAAAATTCTGGTAACAGAAGATGCAATACAATTTGACAGTCTCACTTCCTAAATAAATATACATAAAACATGCCGTGTCTCTACACGAAGCATAACCATTTATATCTACATACACATATGCGCACATAATATATATACATGGGTTTGCTGTGTATCAACAGAGAACCATGAAACTCCTTGGAATGGATGAAAATGAACCAAATGCTAAGAAAAACAGCTTCTTACCTGGTAAATATCAGAAAGACTGCTGCTTCCGGAGTCGCTGGTGATGCTGCATCCTGAGTGGCTGGAAGACACGTGGGTCACCTGGGGGTGCAGACTGTCAGTGAGGTGCAGTTTTGTGAAGTCTGCAGGAAGCTGTGGAAGGAGCAGGAGAGCCAGGGTTACAATGTGGGCCTAGAACTTCATGAGATATTTTAATATCTTAACACTATATTCTGGTTTAGTCATTGGGCCTAAATGTTATTAGGAAAGACCCTTCATTTCAAATTCACAAAATCCTAAATACTACCCCAAAAAATCACAAAATAAAATTTTAATGCTTATGAGCATGCAATGAACTTTAAATAATACTAAATTCAATGCTTCAATGGGTGCGTTTGATCAAGATGAACTTGGGCAAGCACTTCATTTAGTGAGATACAATGTGCTTTTTACACATCCACGAGGGAACTGAGCAGTTGGCAATGACAAATACAACTTCATGGCAAGAAACAGCTTAGAGAAAAAGACAGTCTGAAGGTTCTTTTATGATCAAATGATGTTTAACAACTTAGCATCAATAAATACAGACATACAAGTAACTGTACCAGTGCAACACACACATATTCTACTTCTTTGTGTTTAAAAATAGCCTCTAATAAATACACTCAGTAAGGATCCTTCAAATGCTCTACTCCTCCTCATATATTAGAGAAAGTGATTTTAAATAGAAACATTCATACATTTGTTCACTCAGCAAACACCTGTGGGCCTCCTTCTTACTCTGTACCAGGCAGTTGGTGAAAATCTAAGAAAATCCTGCGCTCAAGAATCTTACATTTTCCCAATCTTTTCAAAAAGAGGAAAAAACAAGGAAACTACATTTATTTTAACATTACCCTTATACTACTGGCTAATGATACATACATTTCAAGACATATGCTGTCATCTTTAAATCGTAACAACATTCTCTCTTTTCTGCCTGCATACTGATCCTATTTAGCTAATAAATAATAAACATAAGGACTAACTGTTAAAATTTAAGGGTTTAACTTAGTAACATTCCATCTGTCATTTGACCTTTTCCCCTTTACCCCTCCAAAAACATGATGCTATTCCATGAGTAAAATAAGCCTCACTAGGGAGCTGATGCAGGTTTATGACAATGATCAAAAGGGTTTTGCTACCTCAAAACTCCAAACAAATAAGCAACATAAATTTGTACCTCACAATCATGCAGACCTAGCTCTATGAACAGACTGTAATCTGCTCACCACTCCCTATCTTCAAGTAGGACATTTAACAATATTTCCAGGCAATGACTTTATGGAATACAAGGTACCCAAAAGATTTAGACGTGAATTTCCTAGGGGGCTTTTGATTAGATGACACATAAACAGATAAAAAGTCTTATGTTGGAGGAGCTGAAAGATGTTTTATCGAATGTGTGAAATCACTGCAAGCATAACCTATCTCACTAATAGAGTATTCTCTTTTTAAACAGATCAGTGAGGATGTGAAATATCATAAAATTTAGGAGAACAACAATTTCTCTATAATCAAAAGGTAAACACCTCTAAATTCAGAATTTATCTTTTTCATTCATAAGGCAGACTAGGGAAACATTTGTAGGATTTCTTCAGGAATAATTTGAAGACAGATAAACAGACACGTATTAAGGGCTATGATTTTACGTGGAGCTAAGTGGTGATTACTCATAGCCTGGGATAAATAGCCTTCACTACCAGCTACATATCCATTTAATTCAGTTACTTCCTGTAGCTGGGGAAACATGCTGGCTCAAGGATTTTAAAAGGAATCAATCAGTAAATGTAACTACAGAATAATAAACTGATTTCTAACAGCCAAGGATATAGCTCAGCAGCACAGCGCCTGCCTGGCAGTGTGAGGTCATGAGTTTGATTCCTGGTACCAAAAACAACAATAACAACAGCAAAAACAACAACAACAAAAGTGATTTCTAGCGATTCTCTTTCACAGTCATGATTCAGGCTGGCATATGCCACACGCCCTCGTTCTTTTCCAATTAAACTAATATGTTAAATGATGATACAACTATCTAGTGAATTTTTGTTCAATAAAAGGTTATGTAAGTCTCATAAGACTCTCCCCTTGAACACAACCAGCAGTCATCCCTCCTGTGAAGAGCACGGTGTAGAGAGCAGCAGGAGCCACGGGGCAGAGACTTGCCCGCTGCACACTCACTGCACACTCCTATGCACGACCACCACTACACCAGAATGACAGGCCCAGAACTGCACAGACTGTCAAAGACGAAGAACCACTTCACCCTGAAAGTGTGATTTTACTTACTAAATACTGTGTGCTTGCTCTGTGAGATACTCAGCTAAGGGCAGAGAATTAAAAGGTAACTCATTTCCAATTTCAAATGTGGAAAACGTTGTAACGATAGGTGGTAATAAGCAACAGAAAAGCCACACCCAGTTTTCAACATTTTGTTTTACCCCCTTCCCCCACTGCCTGTCTTTTGTAAAAGGGCATGAAATGATGTATTAAACTTATGCGCAAATACACCCATGACTATCACTAACTGAGTGTCCCTTCAGTTAGAAATGTAAGAATACAACCTCATATTCCTGAAACCTTCAGGCTTTCCCCACAAATACGGAAAACAACACTACGCTCAATTTACTGACAGTGCTCACCAGTCACGGGAAGGGAGTAAGTTCTAATGTTTGCTCCTCTAAGCAGGAGTGAGCCTGAGAGGCTCCCAGCTCCTCCCTGCCACACACAACACACAGCTAGAAAAGTAGGTAGAAGCCTGAATCTAAAGCTCTTTTTGAAGAGCCAAAAACAAAATCAACACACACAAAAAAATCAGTAACTTTTCCACCACCAACAATGAACTAAGACAGCAATCAGGAAACTAATCTCACACAACAACTTCAAAGAACAGCAGCAGCAGCAGCAGCAAACTAGAAGCCACCTAATCAAGGAGGCGAAAGAGCTCTACGGTGAAAACTGCAGAACACTGACAGAAGAAACTGAAGACAGCAGAAGACGGACAGACCGCCCATGTTCACAGACTGGCAGAATCAATGTAGTTAAAACAGCCGTACGACCAAAAGTGATCTACAGAGTTAATGTAATTCACATCAAAATTCCAATTACATTCTTCACAGAACCAGAAAAAAAATCTACAATTCACATGGAAACACAAAGGACTCTGAACAGCCAAAGAGATCCTGGGCAAAAGAGCAATGCTGGAGGCATCACAATACCCCAATTTAAATTACACTGTAACACTTCGATGGCACAGGCCTGAAACCCTAGCCCTCTGGGAGGCTGAGGCAGGAGTACCACGGGTTTTAGTCCCCGCTGGGCAACTTACGAGAGTCTGCCTCAATATAGTTTGTTTTAGAAAATGAAAAGGGGATGGGGATGTAACTCAACGGCAGAGTGTACATGAGTTTGAACCCCAGTACCACACCCACACACACGAATCACAAATTATACTACACCACCAGTCTGGTACTGAAGCAAAAATAGGCCAATGAAATAGAAGACACAGATACAAACCCACATAAATACAGCCATGTGATTCTTGACAAAGGAGCCAAAATCATATGGGGAAAAGACAGCGTCTATAGCAAATGGTGGTGGAGAAAGTAGATGGTAGCGTGTAGAAGACTGAACCTACATCTCAATCTCTCACCCTGTACAAAAATCAACTCAAAATGCATCAAAGACCTAGGAACTGCTAGAAGGAAACAGGGGAAATGCTTGAAGCCATAAACTCAGGCAGACTTCCTGATAAGGACAGGAAATACCAGCAAGAAGCAACAAACAGGATATTAAACTAAAAAGTTTCTGCACACTGAAGTAAACAACTAATGGTGAAGAGATGGCCTACAGGATGGGAGAAAATCTGTACCAACTACTCTTCCAAAAGATTAATAATCTAGAAGAGACAAAGAATTCAAAGGAACCTAACACCAAAAAACTCAAATAGCCCAATCAACAAATGGGCAAATGACCTGAACAGAGACTTCTTAAAAGAAGTAAAAATAGTCAATAAGTCTATGAAAAAAAATTTCAAAATCTTTAGCTATTAGGGGAGTGTAAATCAAAACTACACTGAGATTCATCTGACCCCAGTGAGAATGGCTATCATCAAGAATACTTAGCTCAGTGGCAAAGCGCCTGCCTGGCAAGCGCAAGGTCGTGAGTTCGGTTCCCGGTACCGGAGAAAAACCCAAAAAAAAAGAATACACAAAACAATAAATCCTGGCAAAGGTTCAGAGAAAAAGGAGCCTTTCTACACTGCTGGTGGGAATGCATGTCAGGACAGCCGCTATGGAAATTGTGAGGAGCTTTCTCAAAACACTGACGTTAGAGCTACCATATCACCCAGCTAAGCTACAGCTTGGCAGACAGCAGAAGGAATTAAACTCAGCAGACTAAAGGGACATCTGCATTTCCCTATGTCCTGGGGCACAATTCACCACAGTCACAATAATGGTTGCAGCCCAGGAACCCATCAAGATCACTAAACAAAAGTGGCATTAAACAAAAAGAGAGGGGGGCAAAGGAAGACTGTGGAAGTGGGAGTGAGGAGGCGGGCACTGTGCAGGCAGGCACCCGCAGACCCGGGTAGACCCTCGGGAAGGGGCTTGAGCCTGAGGCAAGACATTTTAAAGGCACAGTATGACAAGGTTCACTTATTCCAAGTTTTGTCCCAAGCCTGCCCTAGTACCACTTTGAACTGCTACAGGTATGCTATTTAATTAAATTTCTGGTTAAAATGGAGCTGGGAATTTTGATTCTAGCCACCACTTATAACAGAAATTCTATTCAGAAAATAAGAAAATTAATAAACCTGTCTGATGAAAATAGCAATGCAATAAATAGGAAAATTAACACATTTTGATGTAACACCAATACATGCCCCAGCAATTAGTATCACAATTCAAAGCAATCCCTTATTTATATTTGCATTAAAGTATCTTTTAATATTTGGTTATATGAGTATATTACTGCTCAAATTTTTTCTGTCCTGTAGTTTTTGGTTTTTTTGTGCTTTTTTTTTTTTTGGTCTTTTTGAGCAGGGTCTCACTATCAGTTCAGGCCGGCCTTGAGCTCACTTTGTAGCCCAGGCTGGTCTCGAACTCACA